TTGTCATAATTAAACATGAATTGCTGGGCTCACACTAGGTTACATTTTAGCTCTTGTAGAATCTGATCTCGTTGCCTAAGGTGTTCATCCACTGGAGCAACTAAAGTGGAGCCCTTCTCATATGAGAGGATGGCTAGAGGGTCTTATCCATAAAGAGCTCAGAAAGGAGTCATCCCCGCTAAAGAGTGGAATGTGGTATTGTACCATGTTTCCGCACATGGAAGCTACTTAACCCACTATTTAAGGTGTTCTCAGAAGAAAAACACCTTAAATATGTTACAAGACGTCTGTTTACCACCTCAATCCACCCATCTGACTGGGGATGGTAAGTGGTAACTAGTAGACTGAATCAAGCAGGTGCCCTGTTGCAGTCAGAAGAGCTTGGCCCAGAACCACATCCTACCAGACATGGTGATGCGTGGGATACTATGGAGTTTCAACACCTGTTTCACAAAAACCTCTGCCACGGTGCCGCCATAGCTGTAGTGTACAGGTGGGGTAAGGCAGAAAAATGAGCATACTTCGAAGGTCGGTTAACCATCACCAAGATGCCCGTTTTGTCAGCCAATGGAGCAGCCAGAAACAAAGTCCATTAATAATTTTTTTTCATCAATAAGTCCATTGATAAATCTTCCTAAACTTGAATCAATATAGGAAGAGGATGAAGGACTCCCGCTAGTAGTTGAGTAACATACTTCTGCCACTGACATATCCCACCAGATGCCACATACTTCTTGATCAGCTCCACCTGCTAATCCAACAAAAATTTGAGGTTCCTCTAGTCTGATAAGATAGTAAATCAATGACTAATGAGATAAGAGTGCTACTTTTGGATTCCGGGCAATAGCCATCAGTTCCTTCTTGTATACAGACTTAGACTTGGCTTGTTGGGATAAGGCCTTGCTACAATAGGCTAGTGGGATGCCTTTTTGCATCAATGACCCCACACCAAACCCAAAAGCATCTGATTTAATAACACAAGCAGTTCGTCGATAAATGGAATAGGAAACCTGTCTCTTATGATGATTTTGTTTAGGGCCCAATAATCAATGAAAAAACACCAAGACTCATCCTTCGTTTGCCAAAAGAATCAGGGAAGCAAAAGGGATGTTACTAGGTTGGATCATCCCCTTATCCAATAGTTCTTGGACTTGTCATTCAATTTATTGTTTCTGGTAATGGGCGTATCAGTACGGCTGGCAGTTGGTGGGCTTGATCTCAGGCAAGAGAGGTTGGTATCCAATGGTCTTGGGACCTAACCGATGGTTTTAACAGAGACCCTCTGACTGTTTTTAAACCAGCTGGTATTCAATCAATAGCTCTTGAACCTTCTATAGGTGGTCCATCAGTTCCCTGGAGGCCTCATTTATTGATAGAGTTGGGCACATTTGCTGCAGCCCCAGTAGCATTAGTGTGGGCTGGTAATTGGCCTTATAAAGTGAAGTCAAACTAATCTGCCTTATATTATCAGGGATTAACACTTGCAAGTGGGCTTCTTCTCCTTCCACCATCGTGAGACGACTCCAATCACATCATAGCACAGGTCTGAGAAGTCTTAGCCACTGTATGTCGAGCACCAAGTCAGCCCCACTAAATTCAAGTGGGTATAAGTCCACAATAAACTGGGAAGTTTGGATTCTCAGGTTAAGCCCTTTGCAAATACCCTCACAACATAGATGGTTCCCATCTGCCACATGAAACATAAATAAGGAAATGGGTTGAATTGCTAAGCCCATTTGTTTCACCAAAGAACAATTAATAGAGTTCAATGTGCTCCCACTATCCACCAAGGCCAACACTGGCCTCCCTTGCATTACCTTTAACCCTCATGGCTTCGAAGAAAGTAAGCCCTATTAAAGCTTGCAGTGATATCCCAAGAGTTTCTAGAGTGTGCTCCAACCCAAATTCATAGTCAGGCCTGTCAGGGCTAGATGGACCTGTCTCCTCATAATACAAATACTTGTCAGGTCCATTGGTTTACAATACAAATACTTGTAGGGCCTTACATCAATGGTCAGGCCCAAATTTTTCAGGGCAATTATAACACAGACTATGGTAGCAGCAGACCTACATTTCGGGCCAATTAAGCTTCTTGATGAGTAGAGCGCACTAGACCTTGGTAGGGGTTGGACCACTAATTATAGGTGGACCAGGTTTATCCAATATGTTATAGTGGATTTGGACTCAGTATGAAGCTTGATTTCAACAACTTATGAACTCGCCAAACTCAGTCAAGTTTCTCTTCATGCAACCTCACAACTTCACAAGGCCAACTACCACCATGCACCTAAGAAGTTTCTTGAGGTCTTCCATTAATAGCTAAATGATGCACTTCACCCTTCTTCCCCAGATCTTTCTCTCAACTTTGCAAATCTAAACATTCTTCATTTAAATGCACCAATAGAGACTTGCCACATAATGCAAATGATTTAGCCTCTTCATTTTCGTTCCTACAACCATCACTCAACAAGGAAGCTTCAATGGAGGACGCTAACCATACATTGACAAAAAACCCATTCAGGCACACCTCCACTTTTTTGGGAAAATATTCAGGTCTTACACCAAACACCCTAATCGCAGCATAATGAAGATTGTCTACGAAAGCTTCTTCCAAACAACCCCAACACATTGTTTTAAAAGTGTAAGGTGCAAGCACCACTTCAAGATTAACACTTGACCATCACTAGTGTAGACTGTTTCAGTGGTTATCTCCAAGTAAATGCACTTACCTGGGTAAGTGTTTCCCAAGAAAGATTCTTTTATTTCCCATGTAAATAAGGCAATGACCATTTTGGCCATAAAAATCCATTATTAAAAGGGTATTTTTGTCCCATTCAAGTGTTGGCAACTTTCCCCCCAAGTGGGAAAGTTATTTACCCACCTAGGAGAAGTGATACCTAGGAAAATAAACTTTCCCTGATCCCCACATAAATCTGAAAAAAGAATATGGGTTTCTTGGTCAATGGGAAAATCCCATTGACCAACTTTCCCCCCTCTCAAAATCCGAAAAAAGAATGCCTCTCAAGTGTAAGCTAGTGGATTTGGCATTTGTTGTCTAACTCCAAAAGTCTAAGGAGAATGGCCATGGAAGCAATGTTGGTAATTGCAAAGAAAGAGAAAGAGAGGGGAAAAGGAGGAGAGAGAGAATATGGGTCTCCCTCCCCTAATGGGTCTAATAGATGTGCTATTATTTATTAATGGGTCCGCCTATGAGTATGGGGCCCCTATTTATAATGATTTTGGGATTCCCGAATTCTAGAATCTTCTTGTATTTTGTTCTTGCCTATTTTACCCTTTAATTGGTATTCTAGAAAGTTCTAGCACTTGAGTTGATGCAAATAGGTCTATTTAAGTGAACAATTGATTTAAACTGCCCCGTTCTAACTCGGGTTTATGTCAGGTTAACTAGATTAACATACTGATATAAATCCACTGTCTTTCACTGAGAGCTCCTCAGCAATATCTAGAAGTGCTCTGATCTGTCAAAGGGGGTAACTATATTTGGCAATTTTAAGCTGAAATGTACACAAATATCCTCTCCCACCCTCCACCAATCTCTTACATCTTGTTTACTATAAACCATAAACCTATCCTCTCAACTCCCTTTACCTCTGTGAACCACCAACTTACCCAAACCATTGCTAGTTGCACAGATCATTCGCTCCCCTTCAGTCATACCTGTTTTGGCTGACATATCTTCTGTGTGCTTAGTCATGAATGAAACCCTGTTTTTGTTTTCTTTACCTTGAAAAACTCCTGGAGAGTTTTGGAAATCTCTCCCCACCCTGAAATTTTCATGCCTTCAGGAAAATAAAGCAACCGTTTACTCTTTTGCCCAAAGAACTTGTACAATGCTAAGTACCTTCCATTTTTGTTCCCCTTCCTCTCAGCCTAATATCTATCTTCTATTCCCTTCATCATTCAAGCTCTTTCACTCAACATTCTGCCTTGCTGAAATAGCACCATCAGTCCAGTTTTTGAACCATCCGATTGCTTCTCCAGCCAACATTACAATAGCCCTTTCATTTCCCAAATCCTTAAAATATCCATTCCCTTGAACTTTGTCTTCCCAAAGACATTTTTTTTTTTTTGCTTCAATATTCAGACCTTCTCCAAACATCAGATGTCATGGTTGCTATATTCATGGAGCATCTACCCATGTCTCTGATTCTAGCGGTGGATGTATAGAATTCACATATGAACTAGCATAAAATTTTGCCCAATACTCTTCATACTGCATTGCAGTTTACATCCTCTGGTCTATCTAACAAATCACACCCTTCCACTTGATCATTGTGCATGTACGAAATATGTTTTTTGATAAATGCATGTAGGAAATATGTTGATAGGCAGATGAGTCACCTCCCAGCAAAAAGGTAACACCATGTTGGGGAAAGAGGTATCTTCTATTCCCTTTGCAATTCCCTAAATTCATGCTTTTTAACTTGTGCTTTCTGAGCTACTCACAATTCCCTAATTCATGTTTGATTGATCATTAAAAAAAAAAAAAACTTGTCATGTTTGCCACTATTGTACCAAAATAGACTGTTTAAAACAAGAGATTAAAGAAAAAGAATTACTGACAGTAGCATCAATCGAAGTCCATTGAATTAGGAACATGAATATCAAAGAATACAACTACCAAATGGGGCCGCTGAGTTCACAAGGTGTGTTCACATTTATATACTCAACTTCCCCTCAAAATGGGGGGACAAAGAAATAAAAAATAAGGATGGGAAAGGATTCGCTGGACAGTGTAACCTTCTACATCAAAGGGGAATCCTAGTTGTGAAAGGCTAAATGGTTTGGCTTGACGCGTTCAAACTGTCTTAAGGCTTTTGAAGTATTGGCCAACCACGTAACACGAATTCAACAGAAATGAATTAATTAGCTAAATTTTAACATGAATTGAATGTCTCTCATTAAGAAAATGATTGACAACGAATTCGACAGAAGAAGATACAATCAAGATAAAACTGAAAGATGGAAGGTTATCTCACTGTAATCCTTTAAAAACTTCTTGTGACGGTCGTATGCGTTGAGTCCTCGAATGTGGTCCTGATATTGTCTGTAAACATCAAATTTAAGTAAATAAACCAAAGAAGAATGGGATCCAGAAATCAAGATAGATAGAAACTTACTGTTTTCTTTCTTCCTTCTCGAAGATCGTCGATTTGGTTGACCTAAACGACCCCATGTTTGCTCTGTTAAAAAGAAGCCCTAAGCTTTCATCTGAACCATGTTTGCGCGTGACAGTTAACACGAACGATGTCGATGCGGGAAAGGAAGACGAGAGGTTCCCTTCGCCGGAGGAGTCCGATCTGTTCTCACAAAGCGCACCTCACACGGACCTCGTAGTAACGTGGCATTTCCAGAAATTTTCTCGGCTGTCGGCCTCCAACAGCTAAAGTTTTTCCCAATTTTCATAACATTCCACTTCATCAGCTTTCCACGTTCTCAATACAATTTCTGTCTATCAAAATTTTGTAAAAGCGGAGGTATCAAATTTTGGGTGATGTGCCAACATTTAATCGGTTCCATTTAATAATATGAATTTGCCACTTGGTGTGTAAGGTGTCAATCAGCTGGTTGGTAATATTTTCAACAGGGTCAAAAAAAGAAATTTCAATTGAATCGGTATATGTACATGTTTATTAATGACCTGTGGGTCGTTTTATTTTAGCAATCTTTTAGTTGCACTGTAGGGAATAAATACGATTTTAAAGACAATGATCAACGGATACGATTCAATCCTCTTTCTCTTTGCGATTTTTCAGATTCATAATTTTACAATTTTTTTATTTAAAAATTAAACAATTATCGATAAATTATATTCTGTCTTTTTTATTATATTTATAATAGAAGAAAAACAAGAATCCAAAAGGAAGAAATGAGATGGGTACAATAACAAGATCGACCAGCTCCGAAGGTGCAGGGAGAAGAGAGGAAGGACACAAATGTAAAATTGAGGAATGATGAGGAGGATGATGTTTCAGCGAATAAATGTAAAATTGAGTCTTGAGTTCTGACATAAATGAATAGTCATTATTATTATTTGTTTTCTTACAAATAAAAAGGCATTAACGATAGAGTTAATTGCACATTTAGTGGTGAATACGTGTCATGTTTGGGGAGAAATCAAACGGCTTCGGCTGTTTTATGTGGACCTGGCAAAAAGTTGATCCAATTGACCCAATCCGAAAAAACTGGGTTGGGTCATAGATCAACCCGCTGACCCATTTGTCAAGTTTAATCAAGATTATTTATATATTGTTAGAAGTTTTAATTCTTTAATTTTTTCTATTTAGTTTTTATTTTTTATTGTTTACTCTTTAAATTGTTAAGTGTTCAAGTTTTTTATTTTATATTTGAAATTTTAAGGTTAATTCTTTTAATTTTAATATTTTTCATTATTTTTTAAAATTCAATTATTTTTGTGGATGACCCGAATTGATCCATGGGTCAACCCTAATCCGAACATTTAGGATTAGGGTCTAGCATTTGACAACCCGACCCGGAATCAACCCAAAATACCTTGGCCCAACTCAAATCTGACCCACCCAACCCAATTGCCAGGTCTTGTTTTATGCAAACAGTCAAAATTTATCCATATAATCCCATCTACACCTCAGTTGGGGGTTTATGGCACTAATTTAACCACATCTAACGACATGTATGATGTATGGCACTTCTACATTATCATATGAATAAACTATACTTTAAATTCAGTGTGTTTGGACTGTAAGAAATTTTCTCTTCGTGTCCATCAATATTTTAACACATCAAGAGTTGCTGAGTTGTATTAAATTTAGGATAAATTTCTTAAACTACTAATTGATTAATGTATTTTTACTGTTTGAAAATTTGAAAATTAACTGACGCTATCCTACTGTTTATGACAATTGTCAAAGTCTGACTGGTGTTGATAAACATAGACGGAAAGTCTAAAATATCCGTTTTACCCTTTAACTCAAACGACAGTTGAACGGGACCCTCTATGACTACGACTCTACGAGAAGTACTCCGGAGTTGGCCTCCTCAATTCCTTTCGGAAGGAGAAAACAAAACCAAGCCAAACGCCAAATTTAAGAAGCTTTTCTACTGAATAAAAAACTCCAAAGCCCACAAATAATACAAATCATCTCCATTAACGCTTAACTGAAATCATAAGAAAATAAATATATGTATGATTTCTATGCATTTTATCTCTAGATTAATTGTAGATAGGACAAGTTACAGGCAGCATCCGACAGATCTCACACACTGGTGAAAGATAAAGCTTGGAGGTTTTGAAAAAAAAAAAAAAAGAGGGCAAGGTGAGAAGAAAACTCGCCATTGCCAAATGCATCTTTGTTTCAACACCTATTTTTATTTAGTTGAAAGTTTTACTTCTTCGGTCGGTTGTAGGTTTAATAAAACTCAGCAACCCTTAACGTGTCAAAATATAAGAAAATCTCTTAAGAGTCCAAACGCACTGAATCTGAAGTGAATAAACTAAGGGCTGTTTTTTTTTATAAACAAAACTAAGGGGCTGTTTAATTCCTTTGTAGTCCATCAGAAAATGTTATGTTTCATACGAATTTTCCTTTGAAAATGGGGATAAAATGATTTTTTTCCTAATGAAACCAAAAACCATCTAAATTAATCAATTGCCCCTTTGTTTCAAAGGCTGTTGGCAATTGAAGCTGCTGAATTAAATGATTTAAAGAATTAATGTTTGGTATGGAAGTATTGCAATCCTCTATTAAAGATATGGTACGGAAAGAATTTTGACCAATCAGATATCATATGTTTTTTATATCATAGTGGCACCCTTTAATTTAATATATGTTGTATTTCTGTTTGACCGAAAAATCCTGTTTGGTATCTACGTTGGTGCGTCATTACCACCGCTATGCATTGCCTCACAATGCCCGCGAACGACTAGAACATATAGGTAGAGGTGTAAATTGGGCTTGGCCGCTTGTGGCCGGTACGATTTTGGACAAGTCCAACACGGCATGGCACGAAGGCCTACGAGCCATGCCAGGCCCAGTACGGAGGTCTGTGCTGTGTTGGGCCGGGGGTTCGAGGCCTATGGGCCGGCACAGTCAGCATGACTCATATATATATTTATATATATTTTATATATAGTTATATAATATTATATAAATTATAATTATATAATAATGTATAGTATATAATATATTAATAAAATAAATATTTTTTAATTTTATTATACTAATTTATTTAATTATTGTATATATATAAGTAATTTTATACACAAAATTCATATAAAATTAAAATTTTAAGTTTTTTGCCAATTTTTTTAAATAAATAGCTTTGGCTCAATGCACGGCCCAACCTGCCCAAGGCTCGGCCCACGGGCCAGCCCGGCCTGCGGTACGACATGGGCCTGAGCCGTGGGCCACATCGGGCCAACCCCTAAATTTTTCACCAGGGAATGCGACACGGCTCATGACAGCCCACATTTACACCTCTAGAAATAGGGCACCCATTCCTCCATTGAGGCTGTTAAGTGTGTCAGGGAGGGCTTAGAGAAACAACACCACAAGGGAACAAAGAATAATTGGTGAAAAGGATACAACTCTCTCCAAGGAAAATAAAAGGGAATTTCTATTGGAGCAAATCAATGCTATCTTATAGCACATCTGGAAAAATAGGAATTCTAAGTCGTTTGGAAACAAGAACCCCCCCCTTAATCTTATGAGGGGGCATTCTTCTTTGGATTTTGAGAGAGGGAAAGTTGGTCAATGGGATTTTGATTCCCATTAACCAAGAATCCCATGTTCCTTTTTCAAATTTATGTGGGAACCAAGGAAAGTATATTTTCCTGGGTAAGTGATATCCACCTCCTAGGTGGGTAAATAACTTTCCCACCTGGGGGGAAAATTGCCAACACTTGAATGGGACAAAAATGCCCATTTTAATAATGAATTTTTATGGCTAAAATGGCTATTAACTTATTTACATGGGAAATAAAAGAACATGAGTAAATGCATTTACCCAAATAAGTCTTTCCTAGGAAACACTTACCCGGGTAAGTACATTTACCTGGGTAAGTAACTTACTGAAAAGCAAACAGGGCCTCAATGATAAGGCAAAAAGGCTACATCCGTGCTGCCAGTATCAAGGAAAGCCAAACTAACAAGATTGATGGTTATTCGTTCATAGGTTGGCATCCCCTGGAAGGAGAAACCATCAAAATAAATTTTGATGCTTCGAAAAAATCATATGGTCTTTGTGTAATTGGTGTTGTTGCTAGGGACAGGTTAGGAAAATCCAATTCATTGCTTGTAGGAGTGTGGGTCTTTGTTCCATTAATGAAGTGGAAGCTTGGCAATCCATGAAGCCATATTGTAGCAGAGAAGGATCATTATTGAAGGAGACTCAAGAGTTGTGGTTCAGGGGCTCAAAGGCATCAACAGTCCTCCTTGGAATAATCGGAACACGTTGGATCAGTGCTACGAGGTTTGCATGAAACATCGATTAACAATCACATAGCCAACTATGTAGCAAATTGGTTGGCGGATTTTGGGCATCATTACCATTTTATCAGCCTCTTTGTTTTCCCGTCTTTCCTTTAATTTGTTACTAGAGAATAACCTTGTACTAAATATGTGATAATTAAATGTGTGTATAATTTAGTTTGAAATTCACTATTTAGTTATTAAAAATTAAATTAAAAAAAAATTAATATGGGCCTTGCATCTTTGTAATTGGAAATCTATTCTGACCTGTTTTATTTGAAACCCATTATTAATTTATGTTTTTTAATTTGATTTAAGATATTAAATGAGATCTTATTGGTAAATAATAACCCACTTTATTTGGTATTTACTATTTGTCTAATAAATCTAATTTGAGTTATTTATTTTAAAAAGTTAAATTAGGTTGCTTCCTAAAAGTTAAATCAACTTTGTAATTAATAAAGTATTTTCTTTTTGAAAAAAAAAATCATTTAAAAACAAACGTGGGCTTATGGTAATCTTTTAATGGGTCCCACCATTTGTATTTAATAGACTATGGATAAACGTGTGTTAAGCTAATAAATAACTGTCTATTGAGAATGTTTAGGAGTGAAACTACCCACTTTTTTAATCCTATTTCTTGAATTAATAGGATGCCACGTGTCTGAATGGTGGTAATGGGTTGTGGGCTTTAGTAATAACTTATCAGAAAATGCCACATGTCTAACTTTCCAAAAAAAATGAGAAGGCCACATGTCTAAATGGTGGGGGCTGTAGCCTAGTAGTGGGTTGTGGGCTTTAGCTTGAATTTCTCAAAAATTGCCATGTGTCTAGGTTTCTAGAAAATGAGAATGCCACTTGTCTGAATAGTGGTAGCGGGTTGTGGGATTTAACAACTTTTCAGAAAACGCCACGTGTCTAGATTTCCAGAAAAATGAGAAGGCCACGTGTTTGAATGGTGGAGGGTAGTAACCTGAAGACGTGGAAAGCCGAGGACTCCCTTAGCTGTTGAAGTGTCAAGCTGAGGTCTATCTTATTTGATGAGGTGCTGAGCTGAGGTCTCCCTCAATTGTCGATGTGTTGAGCCGAGGTCTCCCTTAGTGGTCAAGGTGTCATTGAGGTCGAGCTCGGCTACCTTTGATTGTAGGTCCCCGGGTAGCCAAGATGCCAAGTTGATGTCTCTCTCAATTGGAGAGAGAGTGGCATTTTTATAATTTCTAAGGAGAGAGAGAGAGTTGGAAGGAGAGAGAATGACATTATTGTATGTAAGGAGAGAGAGAGTGGCATTCTTGTAATTTATAAGAAAAAGAGAGAGAGTTAGTAGGAGAGAGAATGACATTCTTGTAATTTGTAAGGAAAGAGAGAGTTAGTAAGAAAGAGACGGCATTCTTGTAATTTGTAAGGAGAGAGATAGAGAAAGTTGGTAGGAGTAAGAGTGGTATTCTTGTAATTTGTAAGAAAAAAGAAAAATAATTAGTAGGAGAGAGTGTCATTCTTGTAATTTATAAGGAGAGAGAGAGAGAGAGAGTTGGTAGGAGATAGTGGCATTCATATATAGAGAGAGAGTAGTATTCTTGTCATTTGTAAGGAAAAAGAAAGAAAGTTGGTAGGAGAGAGTGTGTCATTCTTATATTTATAAGGAGAGAGAGAGAAATAGAGTTGGTAGAAGAGAGAGTGACATTCTTATAATTTAAAAGGAAAATAAGTAAAAATTACTGTAAAATTTCATTTTTTGCATCCCGAGGCTTTCTTTCCTATGCATTCCAACTTAATATATTTATATTGATATTGATATATTAGATGTTTTGCTGATGGGTGGGGTGTTGCCACCCTATGGGGAGTGTAATTTTCTTTCCGATTTATTAGACAAAAAGAAAAGAAAAGAAAAGAAAAAGAAAAAAAAAGGAAACAATTTGTTTCTTCCAATTATTAATGATGTAGCGTTTACCTAGCTTATCATATGGTATGTTATAGATATGATTCACATGGAAATTCTTCTACAACACCTGACTAGCATTCATTTATACCAAACATGTTTTAGAACAAAAGTACAAGTAGGTTTGGTGTGTGTTTCATCCTCAATTATGTCACCACACCTCACCGCGATACCAAACATCCACTTACTGTTTGGCTGTTTAGTAAATAAAATATTTAATCAAACTTCAACTTCAGTCATTGACAAATTCATAATCTCTTAAAAACTTATACACTAAAGACAAAGTCACAAGTCTTTCGGTTGAGAGTCATGAGACACTTTGTTATCAAAGGTCACCTTGGTGTAGAAAAAGCCTTATAAGTTTTTGAGGTTGTCGATACATCAAATACAATAAATATAAAGAATGTTTTCAAACATTAATACCTACCCTGATGTTTGATTCTACAACAATTAATTGACGCATGAAACCTTCTCATGAGGGGAGTATAAATGCTTTCACATGCTTGATGCAAACCATGCCTAGGGTTTAAGTGAAATACTAAGACCTCCCTATATGGTGATTATCATACTAGCTTCTAGCCAAATTTCATAGAAAATGATAGAATATAACTAGGCCAAACACGAAGATATTTCCATAAAAAGAGATTACATGTGACTGTTGCGATTTTGGATTTGAATTCCAATTTTGGACTAAGTGTGATTTGAATTTGATCTGTTTATGGTTGGTCTAAATATTGATCCACATTTATCCAAACAAATATAATCTGATTGTATTTTTTTCTTATGTGTGTGTATGTTTTTTTGCTTTTTATCTACACAAGTTTTATATTATATATTTATATCTATTAATAAAGTTTGCTTAAATATTGTATGTGTTACTGAAGCTGCATTTGTTTATGGTGTAAACTTGCACTCTAATCCGATTTTGCCCACATTTGGTAGTGGTTTTTATATTATTTTTTGGATAAAATTCAATTTATTGTATTAATGATATAATAACAGTCATTTTCTTATCAATCTTATAAGGTTGGACTATGATATTAGAAAGACATGATACTCAAAAACCCTTGCAACTAAACGATAAAAGTAGTAACCATTTACATGGTTATTTATCAAAGTCACTGGAGGGGGTGATTGGTCAATGCCCTTCTCGTGTCATGTCATTCTAGCAGTACAGATTTTTACTTTTATAAATATTATATATAGCATTTTGATGTTTTTAATCCAGGGTCTGTTTAGTTTGTTTCTGGAATCAGAATTGGAATTGAAATCTTTCAGAATTATAATGGTCTATTCCCAAAACCTGTTTGGTTCAGATAAGAATCGGAATCGGAATTAGAATCGGCTAGAATGAGATCTCAATATCAAGAGAGGGGAAGGGAATGACAATTCCCTCATATGCAAAAATGCCATTCAACTAGGAATGAGAATGGGATTTCAATTCTATCCAACTAAACAGTTAGATTTTCAATTACAATCCTAGATTCCTATTCCTAAGAACCAGACGGGCCCTCAATTTTTTAATGGCATACAGAACTGAAATACACTCCATATTCGGTAGTGGATAAAATTCGGTTTGCAGCCTACCACCCCCCGCCCAAATACCTTGATAAGGCAACGACATCTTACAAGCAAAACAAGGTCCAAACAGTATGTCTAATTTGACTAGGCATACATCATCCACATGGAGATGTCTTTTGAGTTTTTGACATCTCAAGAAGCTAGCTACACCAAGTAAGCCTTTGATTTTAAAAACTGTTTTCACCAATAATTTCAATAACTGCATAGCAAAGTACTTTATGAACCCAAAAAACAAAATCACTTTTTGGACTGGACCTTTGAATTCCTAAGAATTGGGCATTTGTACCAGGATAGTATAAAAAGTATAGTGGTTTATTTATCTTTCCAACTTGGACCAAATTTGCAGAACTCCCTGGTAAGATCAGTGCACCCTGCTCTTTTCCAACCCTTAACCCTTCTATGGTGTTTGTTTTGCATTATGCACATGCGCATAGAGAGAGAGAGAGATTAATATATTCCTACATCCCAAAAATTAATACAATTGATGTAGTTTTTGTTATCACTTATTAAGGTCTTTTTAGAAGTTATGCTAAAACCCAACTGCCTAAAGAGTCAAAAGTGATTACAAGGAAGATGGACCCAAGGTCTGATTCAAGTGGCAACAAACTTTTCCAAGTTGTTCTCTGAAGAAAAACAAATTAGTAGATTTTGTCATTCATGGGTCAGTTTATTCAAAACCGCTGCAGACGAAACCAAGAGGTTTTGCCTTGTTTTCTTGGAAGGACAAATACCAAGTCAAAATTTGTCGTTGCCGGGGGCCGGGGCTTTTAGCATGGATGTCATCAATATGTCATTCAACTAGATATGCAAACTTTGTCTATATTACGCAGCAAATCAAGCCAACTGCGTAGGACTTGTTGCTTGATTTTTCCCAACCGTTGTACAGTTGTTTCTTTTTGTCCTGTGGGTGTATCATAAGACATTATCATTGCATTTGCCAATTGCCATGGATCTGGTCTCAGTTCTCACTACACGACCCTCTTCGGTTCTCACAATGCTAGTATTTTTTTAGGGGAACCCTCTAAGCCAACCTTTGATAAAGACAACAAGTTTCGATGGATCAGATCTAAAAAATCTAGGTTTCTCAAATGCAGATGTGTTACTGTCTAGGGGCCCAAGTGGAAAACTCTAGGTAGAGTGCATCCATGAAGCCAAAGCAATGTAAGAAACAATATACACTCTTTAGAAAACATTTCCTGAACCGGTTCATTGAAAAAAATATATATAAAGAAAAAGCATTCTTGAACCAACCCCGGGTTAGCACAATGAATACGTGGCAGAACTACAGGACAAAAAATAGTCATGAGATAGCTTAGATCACTCTCTGCTCTGGTCAAGATCTTGTAGCTCTCCACGCCATTGCAAAAGGCCAACATAAAGAATTTGACCATCTTTTTTCAATGGATGGCAGATTATGGCTTTTGGGGACTGTGGACACTGGAATATTTGAAAGAAAGTGTTGATCATCCAGCACATGGATATCAACCATCTATTCTGAAAACCTTTTAAACCCAACTTTGTTCTTTAGAATTGCAATAAAAACGAGGAAATCAAGAACAGAAATCTAATTGTCAATTTATTAGATCTCACATGGTTAAGGCCATGAGGCAATACTGAATACTGATCTTGTCTTAAGCTGTCCAGTATACAGTGAAAAATGCCAATTACAGTAAAGTTAGGAGGTGCTTGAATGAAAGACATCATAGTACAGTACTACAGTCAATATTGCGTGTAACAATAAATAGCCTCTTCAAAAGAAGCAGAAACTCAACTGTTAGGCAGCAAGGCACTATGTCCTTGAAAAGTTTTGCTTGTACCCAATTGACATTGACCAGCAAGCCAAACCATTGCCCCATGCCTTGCAGGTACATCTCAAGCACCGAAAATTTTCAGTCTTTCAATGGTTAGCCTATAATTTTCTCAGGTCCTATGGTTCTGGATCTGATTCTAACAGTTCTTCCTCAGGTAGCCTCTGGCAAAAAAAGGGAGGCGGTGGTGGATCAACAGTTAAAGTACCTTCTAACACCCTTGCTACTTCCCCCATTGAAGGCCTTAACCGTTCATCAACTTGAACGCACCAAAATGCAATTCTCAACGCACGCTCAACCTCTTCTGGATCTACCACATCTTCAATTCTAGCATCCACAACAGTCTTTGCCCGTCCCTCTGCCCATTCCTTGTATGCCCATCCAGAAACATCTTCAACTCCCCGGCGCCCACTTACCAATATAACCACCATCTCTCCAAAACTTGCTACATCTTCTGCAGCTCCACTACCAGAGGAGACCCCATTACAAAGCATTCTTAACCCAAATTCAGTCACCTTAGCCTCCAAGTCAACATCCAGAACCACATTTGTCCATTTCAAATTCCCATGGCTCACAAACTCCCTACACCCTGTATGCAAGTAAGACATGGCTCTTGCCACACCAATACATATTTCCATTCTCTTCTTCCAAGTCAGGCTCTTGTTGAGACTAGCTTCCTCCATCCACTTATCCACTGAGCCATTCTTTGCAAACTCATAGACCAAAAATTTTTGGCCAGACTCACAACAATACCCCTCCAACTTCACTAGGTTTTTATGGTGAATGCTGCTTATAACTGACACAGCACGCCTAAACTGCTTCTCTGATACAGCTGCTTTCAAGTCCTTGATTGCAACCGATTGGTTGTTTGGAAGCACACCCTTGAACATCTTTGCCCCAAGCCGGTGCTGGAAGTTCCCAGTCAGATCTTTGATTTCTGTGTAGGATAAAATTATCAAACCTCTTGAATCAGGATACATGTAAGCTAAAGTTGTGGTTTTCTTGATGGATTTTCTCCTTTTGTGGATACACAAGACAATGCCAAATTGAATTATAATGAATGCAGTAAGTGTTCCCATGGCTGCCCCAACTAAACATGGAATGCAGAGCCTGTGTGATCTTCTGAGCAGAGATGGTGGTGAAGATGGCAGGGTTGCAGGAAGATGCTTGGGCAGGACAGCAACTGGATCTAAACACACTTTGACAAAGGATATTGACATTACTGAGGGATGAACATAACCAGTAATATATCGGGTTTGCTTTACAAGGCATCGTGCGGTACCATCATTTACAATGGTCACAGATGTGCATTGGGGATTCTCCAAGCATGAGTTTCTACATTGTTCTAAACTGGTTTTGGTGACTGTATCATTTGGGGGGTAGATACCATATAGGAAGGTGTGCTCAAGCATGAGCATGGTGGTACCAGATTCACACTTCTGTTTATATGGTGCCAAACATTTTGAATTGAAATCAGCCCCTGAGCCAAAAGGGCATTTGCAGTCAGTGATCCCTGCTGCTGTGAAAACACAGACACCATACAGACCACAGGTGGCAAAGACATCACAATGATTCTGGACAGCTTGCCATACCGACCGCCATGACCCTGATGCTTCAATCCATGAATACATCCGTAGATTTCCATCTATATCTAGTCTCAGAAATCGAAAACTCACCGAGGAATCGTTGTGATCTTCTCCAAACAGTGACCACACTGGTCTGGATTTTCTGTCAAGAAGTTGCAGGGCTCCACCAGAGGTGAGGGTGGCTTGAATAGCTGAAACAAAAGGACTCCCACCAGTCCAGTAATTGACATTGCTTTCCCATTTCAGTTTCAACTCGCCTGAGACATCCATGGAGAGACTGTAATAACTTGACACCGAGTTTCTGCTGGCAGCTCGGAGCGTTTGACCAACATATAGATTCTGGCCTGGGATAAGTGTATCCGATGGAGTCCCAAAACTTTGCCAGATAACATATTGATCTCCATTCTGGAGGATGAGATTTCCATTGTCAAGAAGGAATGCTGAAGAAACAGAGAAATGGCTGGTATTACTGGTCCAGACAGTGATTCCCTTTGAGGAATCAAAAAGAACAAGATCTCCGGTATGTGTAAGCTGGAGGTAGGAATGACATCCTACAGAAACATCGCCTCCTGCAACCCAAACCATGGTTCGCTTGTTGATGGGAATAGAGTTTGAGTTGAACCGGATACCAGCGCTGTACAGGTTAGGCTGGTCAGAGTGGTTGAAGAACCCAAATGCAAAATCTCCATTTGGGGACACCCAGTAATCATTTCCTGCAGCAAAGAGCTTGGAACCTAGAGGAATCTGTGAAGCTACAACAGAGAAAACCCAGAATCCAAGAAAGATGCAGACGAGGACAGGCATCTCAAGGAGATGGACAGTCTGTCCAAGCATCTCTTAAGAGGCTTGGATATGCAGGCAACGAAAACATGTAAAACCTCTGCAGACGAATTGGGCAGACCAAAGAACTTGAAGCTTATAGCAATTCCGAGGTAGCTACAGTTGAATGATTTGCAGGTCTCGTGGCTTATCAGGCGCGTTCAAACATAAACAATTCAAGAAGGCAACCTAACAGCCATTTAGACCATGACTAAGATGAGAGGTTATACCCTGCAAAGAGAGTCAAAATCCAATGATAAATTGAAGAAGTGGATGGTGAAGGGCACAGTTGATTAGAAATATTCCAACTCATTTCGGGGCCCGTTGAAGAATCAACATGAAATTAGATAAGTTTTACTTTCCAGAATTGACAGATAACAGATAAATAATGAAACATTTACACCTAAACAATTGAAAATCATCCAAGGAAGGAAAATGATTTTTTTTGAGGTCAGAGAAACAAAGCAGATGTTGAATTGAGACTTTTTCTTATCAAATGGGACCCAATTTACGCCAATTGTAGACGCATTTGGCCAACGCAGATCGCTTTCAAACCTTCAAAGGAGAGAATGTAGAAAGAGATTTTTCAGACGAATAGGCTGTAAAGATAGAGCATACTCGGATAGACAAGAGAGTAAATAAAGAGCACAAAAGAAAAATCAAACACCAAAGAAAACTGAGAACCAAATAGCTTAACCGCTCATGCACTGATGGATTCTCAACAGAAACTAGAGCTTTAAGACATTGACAGAGACGTGTTTTTAGGAAAGTAAACAGTTTTAGATAAAGAAACCTAAAACATCAAACCGGAAGCAAGTTACAGGGAGGGAAAAGAAGGAAAAATAAAACACCTTATCTTTGAACGAAGAGCGGTTAGAAACCAGACTTGAAACGTTATCCAAAAGAGCTGCCAAATTCAACAAACATTTTGAAGTAAAGAATGAACGATAAGAACAACAGTTGCACAGTGCGGGTTCAAATGCAAAACAAACAACCTACCGGCACAGTACACGAAGCACGAAACCCTGGGGAGCCATGGATGAAAACAAAACCCTAGGTCGAAGAACCATTACTGCAAGCGCATTTCATTTTTGAATCAATTACTGTATAGTAAAAGCACAGATTCCAACGAAAATGTTTTAAAAAGGACAAAGAGAGCACTCGTGAGGTCTTACAGTACTCGGGTGTGAAGAAAAGCCAAGAAAGGTGGGGAGAAAAAAAGAAAAGAAATGTACTTCACAGAGAGAGACAGAGAGACTCTGGCAATGAAGCAGGGAACCGCTGAGCTTCACTTTAATGGCAATGGCGCTGAAGCTCGAGGGAAAAGTCGCCGGAAAAGGTTGCAGCCAAGAACGAAGTGTGAAATATCCGCTCCAGTCTCCACTCTTCCGGTTTCTAGTGAGAAATCGGAGGAGAATTTCGGCAGATTGTTCTTTTATTTTTATTTTTATTTTGAAAATCAAGTATTTTTAGAAATCAGACCCGAGGCCCGACGGTCAGATGATCTCAGAAATCAGAATGTCGGGGAGCACATGTACTTAAATGCTATTGGTTTGAATGGAATAACCACACGCCACGCCGCCGTTGTGATCCTATAGTGAAATGACATGAATACCCCCCTATTTTCTTCCAGTTATAACAGGAATGCCCTTCCTACTTTCTATTTGAAGAACGAAGACTGATAAAGTGAAAAACATTGAATGATTCCGTGGGCTAAGTAGACTTCATTTCACCTCAGAATTCTAAATTAGACTGCAGAACTACGATAATTCAAAATTTTAAATAACTTCACCTATAACACTAATACTTGCTAATAAAATCAAGGGATAAGTAAACTACATTTCATCTCAGAATTCTGAATTACAACCCACAACAATTCAAAATTTCAAACAATTCCACCTATAACATCAATATCTGTTCTTGTATGGTGGAGTTAAGATTTATTAAGATGGACTGAACAATAAAAACCCCTAAAATCAATCGTCGAAAAGGCATTTTTATTTGAGTACTAATGTTTTTCTTTTTCTTTTTTTTTTTTTAGATAAGAGAACATAGGGTAAATTACAACGACCCCATTGTACTACCCAGTCAGTGGCAACTAACCCCTAAACTTTTATTTAGGCAAAGACTCTTTTGAACTTCCACTTTGTAACAAATAGCCTTGTGAAAGTTTCTTAGTTAGATTCGAAAAATATTTTTATTCAACTGTTTAAATTTTTTTTAAATTCTCATATTACCTTTTTCTTATGTATTGAACAATTTACGATTCAATTAATTTTTTAAATATAATATTGATTTCATTTGCTCTAATAGATCATTAATTTTCAGCCAGATTCAATATTCAAATGAAATGGTAGAAGTTTGTTTTTGATAGAATATATAAATATAAAGTTTTGTTTGCTTTTCTTGATTTATTGGAGAAAGGAGTGGATAATTTTTATATTTTAAGATGAAGAGAGACATTCATGATAGTGAAATTTTTAAAGGAATTTGTTTTTTTATTAGTGAAATGGTTCTTGTTCTTTTAGCTAATTTCGTTTGGAGAATGGAAGACAATTATAGGGTTTAAGAGGAAAGGGTAAAGACGAGAAAATAAGTTCAAGTGAATATTTTGGTAACTTAACACATTCTATCATCTGATTCAATACCAAGGCATTTGTCACAAAGTGAAAGTTCAGGAGGGACATTGTTGCAAATGAAAGCTCAGGGAGGGTAACTGTCACTAATCTTGAATCTGAAAGTGGGCACGCTTGATAACTTTAACTTGGTATAATGGTAAAATTTTGGGCTAGAAAGCATGAGAATGTGGGTTTGAATATGAAAGCAGCCATTCTGTGTAAAAATAAATGCCAACAACCTAGATAGTTAGGGCCAACGTTTGGTAATTGTCTTCTTTTTTTTGTTTTTTCAGTCATAAATAAAAAGAAAAAATTATGCATTTATTGGTTTTTTCGCCCTTAATACATTGAATTTGAATGGACAAAGTAAACCCAACATGCACATCCCCCGTGCATTTGGAACATATCAAATGCACGGGGGATGTGCGTGTGGGGCACCCCATCTGAGAAGCCCATACGAACTCCTGCACACCTACTTCTGGAACCTTTTCTTTCTTTCTCTCCTATCCCTTGTAATGTTACATGCGTTGTTATGGAAGAGGTCAATTATGTTAGCAACCCCTTGAATAAATTAAGCAAATAAAAATAAATAACCGGCTATTAAATGATTTGAGAGGTTGGTTGGGATGTCATTATCGACTTAAACAATTCATCAAAATTTGCTTGACATCGTTTAGCTCATAATTAATACCTTCTACTGTTTATTTTTATGGGCTCTCAATGAATTCAGAAGGAAAATGTTTTCTCACTACCCGCAACTTTGGAGAGGGGGGCTATTAGTGTGGTGTTGGGCTACTCAATGGCCTCTATTGGTTTCAGGCTTATTTTCAGGGGTTTTTATAGTTACAGTCCATCTCAGAAATCTTAGTCCCACCGTACAGGTGGGATGAATCCTCACCGTGGATTGATGCTAAATCCATGGGCAGGATGCGATTTATAGGGGACTACTAGTAGCCTAGGAGAGGGCTGTAATTTCAGATTTCTGAGGTGGACTGCATTCTATTTATCCCTAATTTTTCAAATACCCAAAAGAAAAAAAAAAGTATCATATGGTACAATTACAATATATATCAGTTTGCAGGGTCACCAAAATGCTGATTTAGAGAGTTTTTACATGTTAAACATTAGAACCCCTCTCAACATATTTATCTTTAAAATATTGGACTGAAAATTTAAGAGACACTGTTTTAAATGCTATATATGATTTTTGTGTATCGTGAGTATTGATACTTTCATCCATGGTTTAAACCCCTGCTATTCTTTTACTTATACATAAAGAGAGCGAAAATGTCACTCATTTGTTAAAAACTGAAAAAAGTAAAGGACTAAAGGGATTGCAAGATTTCAATGGAAGTCTCAAATCAGGTTGGTTTCAGCTTGATGTAGTTCCAATACAATTGGTGGTATTGTTTAAAGAACTAAACTTATATTAGGGAAGGATTTGGGCACCCCACGATTTGATTACCAGGGAACCCCAGATAGAGTCATAGTTAAAAGGTTATGGGCATAATGGAGACACGATCCAGAATTAGGGGGACCCTTCTTTATCAAAAATGAAGGGCACAAAGAATAAAAAAAAAAGTGAAAAACATAAAGTAGGCGTCCGAAAAGGCAAAAAGGCAAGCTTTTTATTCACCTTGCAATTCGCAACCCAAAAGGGTAATTAATGCCTTCAAAAAAAGGTAATCAATCAGGTGTCAGCTTTGAATCAAGGAAAAGAAATCCAACCTCAATTCCTCATTCAACATAAAATTTTAATCAGAATTTGAAACTTCAATGGCCGGCTTTACAAAGAGAAGCACCCATGCACAGTTCAAACCACGAGAAGAGACCTAGGCCACATATATGAAATCTGAAACTTCTCCCCATTGGCAAATTCAGACTTGCTACCTACCATATCAAGCACCAAAGTCAAGCTTATTGAACCGCTGAACCAGAACGTTCTTTGTTGAGACTTGAGACTATTAGGGAATCTGAGACAGGATTCTGTTTACGTTAGGGAACCCTTTTGTGAGAGACCCCACCATCAGATTTATGCCCAAAGTCATTTTCCTTCTTGACTTTTGTCAAGATCTGAAAGAAGAGGTGCAATGCAACCGTTGGTTTAAACTTTGGAGAGAAATCTAACAAGAATGCCCTCTACAGACCCTTGGTTTGGAGACTTGATATTGCTTTACTGCCTTCACAACCATGCCCGCCCCATCACTCTCCATCAGGCCATCAGCAATCCGTAGCCAACAGTTTCGGATGTGACTCGGCATCTCTGGGCACGAATGCAACTCAGGCCTGGTGCTCCCACATGGAGTGTCGCTCCAAAAGCAGTCATAGGATTCCCTACTTTGGACCCCTTTTATCTCACTTTGTACTGGCATGCATCTCTCCTCCGTGCTTCCAACACTAACCAGACGATGGGAAAACGACACCTCAGAAATTACAGAGGGGACCTCCCAAGGGCATGTAGGGAGGGTGAGGGGGTAACAAACCTCTGGTCCTACCGTATTAAAATACCATGCTTTATGTGACAAAAGCGTCCAGAATACACTAAAATGGATTAAGCTTTTTGAATAAATGCCTGAATGATTCATGGCCCACTGCACTACAAGGGATGATGTTCGGTGGCCTTTAGGACATCATCATTATTACGACAAGCAACAAATACAAGTGATATACAGATATATATGAACAAATTGCTGTCATTTAAGTTTTAAAGGCTCTGATTTGATCAATGAAGGGCCCTCACGATGGAATTGGAAGGAAACAGATCTATTTGATGGTTCAATAAGCGCCACTCATTTGACTCTCCAGACCCAAAAAAATGTCAAAACAAAGAGCTGCCACGAATTGGAATAATTGCCAGATGCCCAGATCCTTAGAAGCTAGCCAAGTTCTGTATAACTTCCTTCTGATGATAGATTTCCTAATGGTTTTGATACAGGAGTCAGTTAACAGCCATAGAATGACAGAAATTGCCCCCACAGACCATCCTTAGTGGGGACTTAGTGGGGTATCAAAGCTGTAATGAACCTGAAACAAAATGGAAATTAAATGACGGCAATTGGCATGGGCACCCATTAACGAGAATAATGCACAAACACGATCAAGGCACTTATAGAAATAAGAACAGCTGTATTTTGGGTTTTGGGGTCTGGCCAAGGGGACCCAAAACAACAGACCAGTGCTGAACCCAAGAAGGATTTGAGCTTTGACTTTGACAACCCAAATAAGAAATCCTTTTCTATGGGTGTTTCTGCATTTTTATGATTTTATCCAACTACACCATAAGAGAAAAAAATCCATCCAAAAGAACCACTCTCCCTAGCATTCACATAGCATTATCAATTATCCAAGTGTGCCTTATTTGAAAGAACGCTTACCGTTCAGACCTCCCTATGACCCTGTTTACATTGAAAGAAATGAGACAAAGCTTCATGATTCAAGCATAAATTAAATAAACAACAGTTTTGGTGGCATAGCCAAAAGAAGAGTGAAAACAGTGCAACCTACTGGAGACTAGATGCTGTATATGATTCCCAGACTCTTCTATGAGCAGCTTGCTTAAGTCCTGTATTGGGAGTTGACACCACATGCTGGGTATCAGACCAGCCTTCGCCTTCATCCAAAAACATGCTAACTAGCAATTTGCTTGCTCTTCACACTAATCCCATGTCTGTGCTCAGATTGAGAACACTCGTTTTAAACATAACTAGTGTCAGGCTATTTTCCTACATGATAACGTTTGCCAGGCTGAATTGAAAGATGGTCTCATGACAGTTATCACCTAACTTAGGGGATGAAAGATGGTCTCATGACAGTCAGGCCATGGCT